TTCAATGTCTTCAGCAGAGGTAATTTTCATGCTGATTTTTGTGTCATCTGCAAAGGACGACACGAAGCTGTGGCGTGTATTTTTGTCTATATCAGATATGAGAATAAGGAACAGTAGCGGTGCAAGGACTGTACCTTGAGGTACAGAGCTTTTAACATCGCTTGGACTCGATTTTATCTGATTGACTGTTACTCTTTGTGTTCTGTTCGACAGGAAATTGAGTATCCAGCGTCCTACTTTTCCAGTTATTCCCATTGACCTCATTTTGTGAGCTATCACCCCATGGTCACATTTGTCGAACGCCTTTGCAAAGTTGGGTGTGTTGACGTGAGGTGTGTAGTTGTGGCGGGTGTGTTGACGTGAGGTGTGTTGACGTGGTGTGTGTAGTTGTGGCGGGTGTGTTGACGTGAGGTGTATGTAGGTGTGGAGGGTGTGTTGACGTGAGGTGTATGTAGGTGTGGAGGGTGTGTTGACGTGAGGTGTATGTAGGTGTGGAGGGTGTGTTGACGTGAGGTGTGTGTAGGTGTGGCGGGTGTGTTGACGTGAGGTGTGTAGTTGTGGAGGGTGTGTTGACGTGAGGTGTGTAGTTGTGGCGGGTGTGTGTTGACGTGAGGTGTGTAGTTGTGGCGGGTGTGTAGTTGTGGCGGGTGTGTGTTGACGTGAGGTGTGTAGTTGTGGCGGGTGTGTTGACGTGAGGTGTGTAGTTGTGGCGGGTGTGTTGACGTGAGGTGTGTGTAGTTGTGGCAGGTGTGTTGACGTGGTGTGTGTAGTTGTGGCGGGTGTGTTGACGTGAGGTGTGTGTAGCTGTGGCGGGTGTGTTGACGTGAGGTGTGTAGTTGTGGCGGGTGTGTTGACGTGAGGTGTGTTGACGTGGTGTGTGTAGTTGTGGCGGGTGTGTTGACGTGAGGTGTATGTAGGTGTGGAGGGTGTGTTGACGTGAGGTGTATGTAGGTGTGGAGGGTGTGTTGACGTGAGGTGTATGTAGGTGTGGAGGGTGTGTTGACGTGAGGTGTGTGTAGGTGTGGCGGGTGTGTTGACGTGAGGTGTGTAGTTGTGGTGGGTGTGTTGACGTGAGGTGTGTAGTTGTGGCGGGTGTGTGTTGACGTGAGGTGTGTAGTTGTGGCGGGTGGGTGTTGACGTGAGGTGTGTAGTTGTGGCGGGTGTGTGTTGACGTGAGGTGTGTAGTTGTGGCGGGTGTGTTGACGTGAGGTGTGTAGTTGTGGCGGGTGTGTTGACGTGAGGTGTGTAGTTGTGGCGGGTGTGTTGACGTGAGGTGTATGTAGGTGTGGAGGGTGTGTTGACGTGAGGTGTATATAGGTGTGGAGGGTGTGTTGACGTGAGGTGTATGTAGGTGTGGAGGGTGTGTTGACGTGAGGTGTGTGTAGGTGTGGCGGGTGTGTTGACGTGAGGTGTGTAGTTGTGGCGGGTGTGTTGACGTGAGGTGTGTAGTTGTGGCGGGTGTGTGTTGGCGTGAGGTGTGTAGTTGTGGCGGGTGTGTTTTGGCGTGAGGTGTGTAGTTGTGGCGGGTGTGTTGACGTGAGGTGTGTAGTTGTGGAGGGTGTGTTGACGTGAGGTGTGTAGTTGTGGCGGGTGTGTGTTGGCGTGAGGTGTGTAGTTGTGGCGGGTGTGTAGTTGTGGCGGGTGTGTTGACTTGAGGTGTGTAGTTGTGGAGGGTGTGTAGTTGTGAGGTGTGTAGGTGTGGCGGGTGTGTTGACGTGAGGTGTGGAGGGTGTGTAGGTGTGGCGGGTGTGTTGACGTGAGGTGTGGAGGGTGTGTAGGTGTGGCGGGTGTGTTGACGTGAGGTGTGGAGGGTGTGTAGGTGTGGCGGGTGTGTTGACGTGAGGTGTGGAGGGTGTGTAGGTGTGGCGGGTGTGTTGACGTGAGGTGTGGAGGGTGTGTAGGTGTGGCGGGTGTGTTGACGTGAGGTGTGGAGGGTGTGTAGGTGTGGCGGGTGTGTTGACGTGAGGTGTGGAGGGTGTGTAGGTGTGGCGGGTGTGTTGACGTGAGGTGTGGAGGGTGTGTAGGTGTGGAGGACGCGGCAATAACGCCACATCGCCCTCGGGTGTTGGCTGCTCTTGCTGCACCTTCAGTAGCACCAGCCCCTCCCTCACTAGCACCATAAATTTAGCAGCAGGAGCAGCATGCACTAGCACCATCGAGCAGGGCGTTGATTGGCTGGTGTTATCAGGGGCGTGTCGGGGGTGATGGATGGATGCATGCAAGAGAGGGATATGTGCACGGGGGAGGGCGTTGTGGGGGGGGGTGAGATGTGTGAGGAAAGGGGGGTTGAGAGATTGATGCACAAGATGGGATGTCACCTTCTACCACAAAGGTGAGATCCTATCTGTTGCCAAGACATTTGTTGTAGCCAATTCTTAGCAGGTCGGTGGTTGAATGGTTGGTAATTTAAATATTTGTGGTACTCCTCATATTTGACGTGACTGCACCTTCCTCCGCCACTCCAACCCGTTCTCGCACTTGCTTTTAGTCAATATTGGCTTATTTAATAAGTGCATATGTGACATACTAATTGATTGTGAATATTTTAGTTTACCTTGAAAAGCTTCATAGAAAACACCGACCTCACCTAACCTTCTTAGTATGTTAAGATAAGCATCTTATTGCTTCTTAATTACAACTATTACTTAACCAATACCGTTGATAGGTTAAGTAATAATTGTAAATAAGAAGCAATAAGATGTTTATCTTAACATACTAAGAAGGTTAGGTGAGGTCGGTGTTTTCTATGAAGCTTTTCAAGGTAAACTAAAATATTCACAAACAATTAGTATGTCACATGTGCACTTATTAAATAAGCCAATATTGACCGTAAGCAAGTGCAAGAACGGGTTGACCACTCACATGTGGTCTGGGCTTGTCTTCCTGTCTAGGGCTGGACGGTAGAGCGACGGCCTCGTTTCACGCAGGTCGGCGTTCAATCCCCCTACCGTCGTAGTGGTTGGGTACCATATTCCTTCCAGTCCCATCCCAAATCCATATCCTGACCCCCCTCCCTTCCCAATGCTATATAGTCGTGCTGGCTTGGCGCTTTCTCCCGATAGCTGCTTTCCTTCCCTCCCCCTTCCCCCATCCCACCTCGATTGCTTAGTGTATGTATATCCACAATGGCATCGTTCTTTTTGTTGTATCCAAGAAATCTGTAAATCATCTAATCAGGTCACAACCTTTTGAGAGCTTTACATTCTGACTCTGGAAATGTCTTACTGCATCTAGATTACTATTACTAATTGTTGTTATAGTACTGTTGTTATCCAGGTACATCGCTATCCAGGTGTTTATCGCTATCCTCTGGGCACCACAGCAACAGAGGAATGACTGTAAAGGGGGGTACCAGTTTTCCCGTTTTTCAGTTTTCAGTAAAGGGAAACCAGTTTTCATTGTCCCGGCTGGTTAAAGTCACTGAAAATGGAATCTTATTCCATTCCATTTTACAACTAAAGATGCATCCTGTATAGTGATTGTTGTTGCACTCTTTGCAATATTTTCCATTGGGAATTCAGTTCCTGTGCAAAGAGTTCAATATCCAGTTTCAAGAGGAAACTAGAAACTAGTTTCAAGAGGAAAGTAGATTTATTCCTCCAAGGAGTACCGGACCAACCGGGCTGAGGTGGGTATGTGGGCCTGAGGGCCGCTCCAAGCAACAGCCTCGTGGACCAAACTCTCACAAGTCAAGCCTGGCCTCGGGCCGGGCTTGGGGAGTAGAACAACTCCCAGAACCCCATCAACCAGGTATCAACCAGGTATCCATCCCCCTGACCTAATAACATTTTTGCGGAATCGGCCAATCTGTTAGAAAGGGCGAAGTATTAAACAATGCAAACTAATATTGGCGTTTTCTATGAATCTGCCTGAATGGGTTCCCAGGTTTTTAGTTAGGTAAAGCAGTTGTATTTTTTTTTATAGAGTGGCGGATGAGGAGACTATCTGGAATGTATCTGCATTTTTATTTTCTGAACTTGTCCTTTATTTAGCACAATTTTGTTTTAATGTGAAAGTTGGCTCCCACGCACAACTCCCTTGACTCCCACGCACAACTCCCTTGACTCCCACGCACAACTCCCTTGACTCCCACGCACAACTCCCTTGGCTCCCACGCACAACTCCCTTGGCTCCCACGCACAACTCCCTTGGCTCCCACGCACAACTCCCTTGGCTCCCACGCACAACTCCCTTGGCTCCCACGCACAACTCCCTTGGCTCCCACGCACAACTCCCTTGGCTCCCACGCACAACTCCCTTGGCTCCCACGCACAACTCCCTTGGCTCCCACGCACAACTCCCTTGGCTCCCACGCACAACTCCCTTGGCTCCCACGCACAACTCCCTTGGCTCCCACGCACAACTCCCTTGGCTCCCACGCACAACTCCCTTGGCTCCCACGCACAACTCCCTTGGCTCCCACGCACAACTCCCTTGGCTCCCACGCACAACTCCCTTGGCTCCCACGCACAACTCCCTTGGCTCCCACGCACAACTCCCTTGGCTCCCACGCACAACTCCCTTGGCTCCCACGCACAACTCCCTTGGCTCCCACGCACAACTCCCTTGGCTCCCACGCACAACTCCCTTGGCTCCCACGCACAACTCCCTTGGCTCCCACGCAAAAAAAAAAAGGTTGATTGGGCTCTTTCGGCCCGCCTCTCAACTGTCAGAGCTCAACCCCCGTAAGCACAACTAGGTGAATACACCTCCCTCACCCAACTCCTCATATTCGTCGAGTTGAGGCGGATATGAGGTCTACGAAGCTCATATCCGCCACATATCCGGGTCTGCTTGATGGGGTTCTGGGAGTTCTTCTATACTCCCCATCTATGGTGTACGGACAGGTCCAAACAACGGGCGGAGCTTGAGGGGGAAGGGGGAAGGGGCAGAATATCTCCCTGGAGACCACTCCGGCCCTATACACACACGCACGCCTCATTAGGTTATTAAGGCGTGAAGTTGAGCATTGTTTTAACTCGTGTGTTTTATGTCAACAGGGGTCATCGGAGCATCATGAGACAGATGGACCAGATGATGGCGTCGGTCATCCGCGACCCCTTCGAGGACGATCCCTTCTTCGGGTCTGGCGGTGGTGCTGGCGGGGGCGGCGGGTGTGTGGGCCTCCTTGCCGGGTTTCCCGCCCTCACAGCCGGTCCCGCCGCCCTCACAGCCGGTCCCGCCGCCCTCACTGCCGGGCCCGCCGCCACCAATGCCCTGAGTGCCAACGTCCTCAACGCCAACGCCCTGGTGGCGGCGGCGGCGGCGGCCTCCGGCAGGTCCCAACGGCCCAGAACCCAGCACCCATTCTCTGCTCTGGGCATTCCCTTCGTGGCTGATATGGTATCCTCAATCGTGAGTGTTTGGCTTCATAGCTTTTGTGTTTACCTTTTGTTTGCCTTTTCTTTTACTTTGCTATGTATGTAATTTTGTTTAAAACAATGATTTATTAGTCTAGTGATTTTTTGTTACACTGAAGTGCTAAATAGTCATTCTGCATTAGCGCTTTCTCCTGATGATTACCTTGCTACACACACTCCCAACTAATTAGCATGGATCGTAGAGCGACGGTTTCGGTTCTTGCAGATCGGCGTTCAATTCCCGACTGTCAAAGTGGTTGGGCACCATTCCTTTCCTCCGTCCTATCCTCAGCTCCTAGTCTTCATAACCCCTTCCAATTACTATATAGTCGTCGTGGCTTAGTGCCTTCGCCTGATACTTGCCTTACCTTGCTACACAATCAACTCCTTAAGGATAGAAGAAACAGGGGGGGGGGGGTGATCGTAAGATACTGAGGGGAAAAGGGGAATAGTGAAGGTGGATAAGGACAATTTCTTAAAATTATAAGAAAGTTGGACAAGTGGTGGCAAGCCGGTATGACTATACTCCTTGGAAGGGATACGAGGACAAAGAGCTGGGATAGAACGGAGGGAAAGGAATGGTCCCCAACCGCTTGGACTATCGTGGATCGAACGCCGACCTGCAAGAACCGAGACCCTCACTACAGCTGGAAACGCAAATGAACCGAAGGAATGTAGAATGGGGAGTACCTCGCTAGCTTGGTTGGCTGGCCGACTGGCTGTACCTGTCGTTGTTTAAGATTAAGATGGAACTTTTTGTTCCAAGTAGCACAAGTAGCACGGGCTATGGTCAGCCCATAGTAGACTTACCTGGCACAGGAGTGGGACTGTAACTGTGTGTACCTGTCAATAATGTTCCTCTTCAACTGTACCTCACCGTTCAAGTAGCATACCCACCCGTCACCAAGAAATGTAAATGAGATTCCTGCTCTTATCAAAAAGCTGTCACACTTGAAACAACTGCCTCTTCTATCAAAAACTTAAGATCTCGCGAGCACCGTGCCGGACCAACCGGGCTGTGGTGGGGTATGTGGGCCTGCGGGCCGCTCTAAGCAACAGCCTGGTGGACCAAACAAGTCGAGCCTGGCCTCGGGCCGGGCTTGGGGAGTTGAAGAACTCCCAGAACCCCATCAACCAGGTATCAACCAGGTACACAGATGGCCGAGTCCAATCGTCAACAGACCGGACTGCAGCAGCATGTAGGTTTTATAGAAAGAATACTTGCACACAAACTATCAGTCAGGTTAAACAGCTAGCTGGACTTTACACAAACAGAACTAGCTGCACCTCCCTTCATCTACCTTACCTTGAGGTGCTTCCGGGGTTCAGCGTCCCTGCGGCCCGGTCGTCGACCAGGCCTCCTGGTTGCTGGACTGATCAGTCTAGGATTGGACTGATCTAGTCTAGGATTGCTGCACAAATGCAGTTGTACCTACCTAAATGTGTTAATACAAATTTAATGATTTCTTAACTCTAATGAGGATTCCAAATAAATCGGCGTTAAGTACCAGTCTTCTAGTATTAGTAGATACTTCTAATATCTTCTAGTAAAGGGAGCCGGTCGGCCGAGCGGACAGCACGCTGGACTTGTGATCCTGTGGTCCTTGGTTCGATCCCAGGCACCGGCGAGAAACACTGGGCAGAGTTTCTTTCACCCTAAGCCCCTGTTACCTAGCAGTAAAATAGGTACCTGGGTGTTAGTCAGCTGTCACGGGCTGCTTCCTGGGGGTGGAGGCCTGGTCGAGGACCGGGCCGCGGGGACACTAAAAAGCCCCGAAATCATCTCAAGATAACCTCAAGATAGCTGCACACTACCATCACTATACATCATGCCGACACGTCACCATCATCACTGTAATAAGCTTCACTAAAGAGGCTTATATCTTGGGCTATATCTAATATGCAAGTGGGTTTTGTTCAGCATTTGTATAGTAGATAAATGAACAAAAGCAAGTCACTCTGAAGTTCCCAGTGACTTGTCTTGCTCTCCCTCTCCCTTCCTGTCTTGCCTCTCTCCCTCTCCCTTCCTGTCTTGCCTCTCTCCCTCTCCCTTCCTGTCTTGTCTCTCTCCCCTCTCCCTTCCTGTCTTGTCTCTCTCCCCTCTCCCTTCCTGTCTTGTCTCTCTCCCCTCTCCCTTCCTGTCTTGTCTCTCTCCCCTCTCCCTTCCTGTCTTGTCTCTCTCCCCTCTCCCTTCCTGTCTTGCCTCTCCCCTCTCCCTTCCTGTCCTCTCCCCTCTCTCCCTTCCTGTCTTGTCTCTCTCCCCTCTCCCTTCCTGTCTTGCCTCTCTCTCCCTTCCTGTCTTGCCTCTCCCCTGTCCCTTCCTGTCTTCTCTCCCCTCTCCCTTCCTGTCTTGCCTCTCCCCTCTCCCTTCCTGTCTGCCTCTCCCCTCTCCCTTCCTGTCTTGCCTCTCTCCCCTCCCTCCCTGTCTTGTCTTCCCTCTCCCTCTCCCCTCTCCCTTCCTGTCTTGCCTCTCTCCCCTCTCCCTTCCTGTCTTGTCTCTCTCCCCTCTCCCTTCCTGTCTTGCCTCTCTCCCTCTCCCTTCCTGTCTTGCCTCTCTCCCCTCTCCCTTCATGTCTTGCCTCTCTCCCCTTCTCCCTTCCTGTCTTGCCTCTCTCCCCTTCTCCCTTCCTGTCTTGCCTCTCTCCCTCTCCCTTCCTGTCTTGCCTCTCTCCCCTCCCTTCCTGTCTTGCCTCTCTCCCTCTCCCTTCCTGTCTTGCTCTCTCTCCCCCTCTTGCCTCTCCCTCTCCCTTCCTGTCTTGCCTCTCTCCCTCTCCCTCTGTCCCTCTCTCCCTTCCTGTCTTGCCTCCTCCTCTCCCTTCCTGTCTGCCTCTCTTCCCCTTCTCCCTTCCTGTCTTGCCTCCTCCTCTCCCTCCTGTCTTGCCTCTCTCCCTTTCCTTCCTGTCTTGCCTCGTCCCCTTCTCCCTTCCTGTCTTGCCTCGTCCCCTTCTCCCTTCCTGTCTTGCCTCGTCCCCTTCTCCCTTCCTGCCTTGCCTCGTCCCCTTCTCCCTTCCTGCCTTGCCTCGTCCCCTCTCCCTTCCTGCCTTGCCTCGTCCCCTTCTCCCTTCCTGCGTTGCCTCGTCCCCTCTCCCTTCCTGTCTTGCCTCTCCCCTCCCTGAGCCCTGGTCCTTGACGTGACTGCACCTTCCTCACATCTGGTCTCCATCTCCTGGCGTCGACACTCCAGCAGGGCTGTCCATCACGTATCCGCCTTGTTAGGCTCTAATAGTTCCTGGAAGGTCTGAAAATAGCCCGCGCGCGCTCGCGCGCTCTCCAACCACGCCTAGGTTGTGTACTTTTGTCCGTACATGTATCTTATGTGTGCGCGTCTGCGTACACGCACAAGGGCCGAAAGAGCCAGAGCTCAACCCCCGCAAGAGCCAGAGCTCAACCCCCGCAAGAGCCAGAGCTCAACCCCCGCAAGAGCCAGAGCTCAACCCCCGCAAGAGCCAGAGCTCAACCCCCGCAAGAGCCAGAGCTCAACCCCCGCAAGAGCCAGAGCTCAACCCCCGCATGAGCCAGAGCTCAACCCCCGCAAGAGCCAGAGCTCAACCCCCGCAAGAGCCAGAGCTCAACCCCCGCAAGAGCCAGAGCTCAACCCCCGCAAGAGCCAGAGCTCAACCCCCGCAAGAGCCAGAGCTCAACCCCCGCAAGAGCCAGAGCTCAACCCCCGCAAGAGCCAGAGCTCAACCCCCGCAAGAGCCAGAGCTCAACCCCCGCAAGAGCCAGAGCTCAACCCCCGCAAGCGCAACTAGGTGAATACTAGGTGAATTTTCTGATTGAAAATTGAAAGATTGAAAACACATTTTCTGATTGTTGTGTACATAAGGAAACTCTGCTTAGCCGGTAGTACTCATCCTATCAGTACTTACCTATTGGTGACGACGGGGCAGTGGGAGGTTTAGCTTTTATGTCCCTCCTACTGTAGCCTATTTGTACCTGTTGCTATTATAATTAAGCTACTGTATTGTGACGTTCAGATTCTTTGTCAAATCTGGCCTTCATTTTAAGGTAGGTGTACAAGTAGGTAGGTTGTGGGTAGGTAACAGGAGGAAGGTAAGGAAGGAAGGAAGGAAGGAAGGAAGTGGGTAAGTGGAATAAAAGTTGAGGGGAGGAAGAGGGGAAGGGGGGGAGAAAACTCCCTCCAGCCATGTTGTTTACAAGTGTCTAGCCAGGGTTGCAAGGAAGAGCATCTGTAACACAAACACGAGGAGTGATGCTTGTAAACACGACAGGGAGGAGTGCCAGGCACGAGTGCCACTTGCTGGAAACTTTCCCTGGGGAAACTTTCCTCAGGGAAAGTTTCCCTCCACGCGTGGGGAGCCGGTCGGCCGAGCGGACAGCACGCTGGACTTGTGATCCTGGGTTCGATCCCAGGCGCCGGCGAGAAACAATGGGCAGAGTTTCTTTCACCCTATGCCCCTGTTACCTAGCAGTAAAATAGGTACCTGGGTGTTAGTCAGCTGTCACGGGCTGCTTCCTGGGGGTGGAGGCCTGGTCGAGGACCGGGCCGCGGGGACACTAAAAAGCCCCGAAATCATCTCAAGATAACCTCAAGAAGGGAAACTGTAAACATAAGCTAAACCTTATGTTTAAGTTTCCCTATCGCATACTTAGCTTCTGCTTAAAGGGGCATGGGCGTTACCGCTTCCAAATTCAATTTTTCAACATTCAAATTTGTATTCAAACGAATGTGTGTACAAAGAACATAAGAGCGATTGTGGGGACAGGAGTTACACATACTAATGAAGCCACTATTACGCAAAGCGTTTCGGGCCAAAGCTTAAAATCATTTGGATTTTTTGTTTATTTAAAGGTATGAGAGGGTAAGCGCTTCATACTAAGAGAAGTGAGCTAACCAAATTGAGAAAGTTTAAGAAAAAATAAGATAAATACAATAAAAAAGGTGATAGTGATGACTGGCATAGACTATTACATTATGGAGTCAGTAGTCGTGGCAACGGTACAGTAGTTCATTTACATTAATAACAGAATGGA